TGTTCTTGATCATCAGCATAGTCACCAATATCCTCTTCTCCATTACTGTCTGGTACTTGAAGTAATGTGAGTGAGCACTCTATACTCAAACTTGAGTACTTACCAGCACCTTCTAGACTGTGTACACGCATGTGCTGATGCACATTGGTAGTATTAGTCTGGGGGAGCTCCTCAGTACCAAATGAGTGGGCATTTGGGATCGCTTCCTGGTACAGTGCCAAGCTCTATCAGCTGCTATCCACAAGAAGGGATAAGATAAAAAATTCACCTTGATCTTCCACTTTGGAGCCTCAGTCTTGTAAGCCCAAGTGTGCGCACTCAGATTCATCTTGCAGCTTGCCGTTGGATCTGTAGGTGGTTTGGAGGCTGCCCGAGTGGAGCTATGGCCACTTGAGGCAGCAGTGATTGATCTTATAGAGCCCTGAGAGACAAGTGAGCAATAACACAGCATTATCTATAATAAAAACTCACACTCATAGAGGTCCGGGGGTGCATAACCTCAGGAGAGTGAGTGTGGTTGTGGGTGTCATCTTGGGGGTCCTAATGATAGTCAGTTATGCATTAGGTATATGCAAAGGAAGACTTACACTCTGGTTGCACATGAACCCATCAGATACTGTGTGGGCGCGCTGGTGGCTGCCAAGAGTCTGGTGAAGTGGCTGGGGTTTGGGCCGAGACAATACTGGACTAGCCAGAGGGCCAGAGGGACGCAAGGGTGCCAGGACAGATACAAAGGGCAAAATGCTTGCGGGATTGGTTCTTGTCTGCCATGGGAAAGATGACTAGAGTAGTGGCTGTGCACAAGAGAGAAGGAGAAATTATATGAGTGGGCAGAGCTCAGGCACATCTTCAGGTTAACACTCACCAAGGTATTGGTGTAGCACCTGAAGCAAAAGTCCCCTTGTGACATCTTAGCCACTAAGCTACAATCAGCAACGCCATACTGCAGCTGTGAAGTGATTTACGGTCAGCAAGTGCAAATGTGAAATATAAGTATGCTTTTGCCTTTGCCTAGTGCTGCTACAGACTGCTTGTTTGACAGCCAAGATCCGATGCGATGTTGGCCAGGCAGTACGGTGAGTGACAAGCTACTTGAATGTGGCGAGTAGCTGCCCGAACACAGCGGGCAGGTATCACTGCTCTTGTGGAGATGGTGTCGCTACTCGAATGCGGCAAGTAGGTGTCACTGTTCTTGCGGAGAAGGTGTCGCTACTCTAACATGGTGAGTAGGTGTCACTGCTCTCGCGGAGAAGGTATCACTGCCTGAATGCGGTAGAAAGGTGTTACTGCTTTCGCAGAGAAGGTGCCGCTGCCCGAACGCGGTAGGAAGGTGTCACTGCTCTCGTGGAGAGCAGGTGTGCCTGTCTGCAGCAGCAGACTGGTGCAGTACCCGAGGTCCATGACCGCATGTTCAGGCAGGTTGGTCTCGTTAAAACATTCTTTTTTTAGCCTTATTGCGTTCTCATACAGCCACTTTCAATGTCATTCATCACTCAAAGGGTGCCAGGCGCTCTGCGCACGCGCATGACAGGCTACCTTGAGGTGCTCCTCCGCCAGTCAGCATTCTGGGTGCCCGCGGGCGAGGGGATGTGGCCCGCACACAGGGTGGGCATTGCGGTGATCACACCAACGGAGCCTGTGGAGCGCGGCGTGCAGCTGTTGCTGCTGTTTCTGCCCACGGGCCATGGTGTGATGCCGCAGGTGCTGGAGGGGCTGTCTGTGCACGGTGTTGTGGGCAACTTGAGGAAGCCGGACATGATCAAGTCTGCAGCGAATGCATGCAGACTGTGCAGCGCAGATGTGTCTGGTGCGAGCGAGGCAGAGGTCATTGACGATGTCCGGGAAAGCTGCAGGTCAGAGTCGGTGTCCAACTCTGACTCTGAATTGGATTTGAACTCGGCGACAGACCCGGCATCGGATAGGTCGAGGTCAGCGGCATCGTCGCCTGGAGAAGTATCAGCCATGGCCTCGCAGGCACAATACAAACGAAGCCACTCACCATTGCGCTATATCAGGAAGCAATCCTAAATGCCTGCTCATTTGGTACTGAGGAGCCCCCCCAGACTAATACTACCAATATACATCAGTGCATGCATTGATAGGCCCACATAGCGCATGGGTGCACCTCGAGTTGAACTCAACATTAGAAGCATTCGAAGCTTCCACCTTTAGAGAAGCCTGCAATACCTTAACACAAAAACACCTTTGAGCAAAGCCCGTTCTTCAACATCTTCAAAGCTTTGCAATCTCACTATGATCCGATTGGGATCTTTTGGTGGCAGCTTTATTCCGGGGGCTCAACTTCAAGGACAAAACCCCATCATCCAGAGACTGAGACATAGGATACAGGGCCATCGGGTAAACCTTTAGGTCAGTGCGCTTAGGTTGCAATGCCAAGACTTGCAACAGCCAGGCCTCCAAGACTAGCAGAATGTAGCACGCGGGACAGGAGTCAAAACTAATGGAGTCATCGGATGGGAGTAGGAAGGATATCGGGATTGTTAGGCATAGTCAGGGCAGTAGAGGTGGTGACTCGGGAGGTTCGGGCAGGATGAGGGATATTTAAGAGTGGTTTTGCATGATTGTAACACAGCACTCAGCCCCTAGTAGCAAGACTCACACAGAATCACATCCCCCACTCAGCAGAGCTCAGTCCAGCTTCAAACTTCTTTGAAGTGTTGCATCTCCCTACAAACTACAACTACAACCCTCTGAACTACGCCTATGACCTTCAAACCGCGTCCCATCCCAGTATACCCCACTTCAAAGCACACCTCCGCGTACAGCTAAGTACTCCAAAGTTCTGTTCCTACACCTGATCTTTGAATGAGACTCATGTATCTGCGATTGAGTTGCACTTCGCCTTCGAGTCATCCAGCCAGTTCCCTTTTTACCTTCCCTCCACTTCTACAAGAAGTTGGAGTGTTTGGACGGTCCAAAACAGTCTCGTGACACCATCCCGAGAAAACATAGTGAAGTCATCACCGTTCAAGTGAGCTATCAGAACTACAAGCCCTCACCCTCATCAGCTTCCCCGAGAAACAGAAACTTACCCTCTTCTTCGCACCCCCTGAGTTAGGGTTAGGTTTCCCAAGGTTGCATCAGCGTGTGCACAGTCCAGAAGGTGCCAGTAAGTACTCAAGTTTGAGTATAGAGTACTCACTCACACTACTTCAAGTACTGGACAGTAATAGAGAAGAGGAGATTGGTGACTATGCTGATGATCAGCACGCCCCCACATTCAGCCAAGTAGTCCAAAGTTCCAACCCTACCTTAAACAAGACTCAAGAATCATGAATTGAATCATATTTTGTGTTCAAGTTGTCACACCAGTTCCCCTTCACCTCCCTTCACTTCTACGTAGAAGTTGAAGTATTTGGATGGTCTGAGACAGCCTCATGATACCATCCCAAGAGACATAGTGAAGCCCTTGCTGTATGAGCAAGCTATCAAAACTACAAGCCCTCACCCCTATCAGCTTCCCTGAGAAACAGAAATTCACCCTCTACTTTGCACCCCCTGAGTTAGGGTTAGGTTTCCTGAGGTTGCATCAGCACATGAACCTGTCAGATACTGTCTGGGCACACTGGTGGCTGCCAAAAGTCTAGTGAAGTGATTGGGGTTTGGGCCAAGATGATACTGTGCCAGCTAGAGGGCCAGAGGTATGCAAGGGTGCCAGGACAAGTACAAAGAACAGACACTTGTGGGATTGATTCTTTGTGTTGCAGAGTCAAACTAAGCTAGAGAGATCATATCAGTTTGCAGAACTGTTAGTCTGATTGTGTGCTTGAGTGTATTGAAATATAAATGTGGCAATAAACCTTACCTGTGTTGACTAGACACAAGGCAAGTAAGAAGGACTTGAGTTGTCTTGTAAGTCTGTGAAGACTCTAAGATAAGGATGAGAGAGAGAAAAAAGCACTGTCATTAAGCATTCTACCTGGGGGTTTATATACACAGGGAGCACTACATGTACAAACAATTAGATAATAAATCTAAAGTGGTGCTATACACTAATCATGAGTCAGCTGCTAAATGGATAGTAATCTCCAGGAAGCTGACAACAGATATCAAGGAATGTGTTATATCTGCTGATATTGTAGAACAATAGACACAGCTAGATCCAGCCAGACT